TACTACTACTAAATACTACTACTACTAGCAGTAGTAGTACTAGTAGGCGTCGTCGTAGTAGTAGTTATGGTAATTACTAATAGGTACGAATCCCAGGCAGCAGAAGGCCATTAAGCCGAGCAGCCCGGAGTTTGTTTCGCTCCACATCCCGCGTTACATGCTCCTGGTGAAGCTCTTCGAAGCGCTTGGAGTTGCCGCTGCCTGCATCAATGAGCTACATTGCCCAGGGTCCTCTTTGCTTCATAATTTTACAATGTTCACTTCACCACGAATGCCGCTGTTGCCATTGCCACTCTTGCCCCACTGCTGCTACGACGAGTAGCACCACCACCGCTGTCGCTTGATTGCTTAAGATTGCTCTTGGCGGTTTTTGGAGTAGTGCACCAGCTGCTTGCTAGCTAGCGGCTGGTGTTGCTGCTGCTGAGCTAGAAAGAAACCCAGACTCCCGCGCGCCTGCAAGTCGCACCCTAACCAGACAAATCACAACTCCTTCCCCTAAACCTGCCGGGCTGCGACCATGGCCGACGACCTCAGCAACGAAGGTGAAGCGCTGAAAAGGTTATGAAGTCAGGGCATTGTGCAAGTAAATGAGCTGAGGAAGAAGAGAAAACTCAGACGCTCGGAACCCCAATGTTGCCTTGCGGTTCGAGCTCGTTTAACAAGAAACACTGGGTTGTGTACGCGCACGGAAATCACGAAAACACCTGCACCTACCATGATCTTTACAATACAAGTTGTCATAGGGGCCATGCAAACATACATGTGCCGAGGCACAAGATCCTTAATAAATGCACACTGGGTAAATAACAAAGATGAGTAGAGAAGGAAGACACAACGAAACACGCGCACGGTACAAGTACAGTCGTTAAAGCACCCATAGTTGGACAGTGTCCGTATCGGCATGCGTACGTACGTGCATACGTATACACTTACTTGCTTACATACATGCAAGCACACCTTGCCTACCTACCTACCTACCTACCTACCTACCTGCCTGCCTACATGCACGGAACTTCGTTATCTTCGCTGAAAATCAAGTGGTCCATGTAGCTCCATACAATCAATATCTAGATAGTTCGTTTAGAGTGACTGCACCACCGTGGGAATGCGAGAAACCCGAACGCCGATACAAAGGGGCTGAGAGGTTCAGGTGTGAACGTTTGCGGGATTTAATGGTGTTCTGCACGTGGAATTTTCGATCTCCATGGCCGCAGCAACAAAGCGGTTTCTTGCAGTTTGTCGCAAGGCCATCCCCGAGATGAAATTGGAAGCACATGCAACGCGTGCTTCGCACTTTCTAACTCGCGAGCAGGCACAGCCAAGTTCCAGACGGTGGTCTCGTCTTTCGGCAGGTCTGTGCAGGCCCCGATGCTATCGCCAAAATGCTCTTGTAAATGAGTTTTCCCTTGATGGATCACATTGTGTCAGACTTCCGACAGAGATAGGAAGTCAACCCAATCCGCTAGAAACCATATCGATCACTGTCCCGTGTACATCTGAACTCGAAACATGAATGTCCTCATGCTGACATCTGCTTAGTGCAGTCCCAGCGGCCGCTTTCTGAAACTTCAGGTGCTCCTCCGCCTCCTTGGCCCGCCGGAGCTCACTCTGCTGCTTCATGTTGTCCATGGCCTGCTCCCGGAGTAGGGTTTAGGATTTCTTGATTCGGGATCGGGTTTAAGGTGGCGAAAGGGGCTGTGGGCTAATTCTGTTTGAATTGATCCAACAGACGAGCTTAGAGTTAGTTAAAGGGCGTTGCAGAGCTGAGTTCTACGTTGACGAATTCGACAGAGACCACAGACACCGTCTGTTCATATAATATACCCCTCCAATTCCCTTCACATAAACATTCGTAGACATTGACATGGGGGATCAAACATCTTGAAACCGCTGCCCCGCAGTCCCCGGCCGGCGATTCAGAGAACACCAGCATTTCAAACTTTGGTTGTTGGGGGGATGGCATTGTTCTGCTCACAAGAATCCGGCGTGGCATTCAGGTAGCATGCAGTATAGGTTCTGTGCCATGATTCCAGATATAATCTGACACCGAAAAGGCTCCGAGCAAACCAATGAGGACCTGGTGGTAGAGGCGATGCTGAGCCGTGAGTGACCCGGTGCTGCCTTGCAGAGCATGACTTCGCTTTGTTCACAGAGTCATCACTCATCAGTGTGATTCCTCGTCTACCAGCTAGCCCACCCAAATTGCTAAGCAGCCAAACAGAGAGCGAACCCATACCCAGACGTCAAGAAGACCTGGCTCGAGAGGCTAGCAGACTCTTATTACTCGGGCCTAACCCGAGCCCAAAGGAAAGCGATGGAAAGCGCTAACACCGGAAAACATGATCCATGAATCTATACAATGAAGCTCTAGGTCTAAAGTAGCCTTGGCGGCAGGTGTTCCTGTCCATGCCTTGACACACACGGCGAGTTTTCATTGCATCGTCGCCCACCCTTACTTTGTAATTGACGGAACAAAGCCTGCAGGAACCTTAGTGCCTGCGAGCCAACCAAGGACGCCTTTGCTCACGGCACGAGGGTTGCAGGATAACTACTGTGTGAGGAGACCGAGTTGCTGCTGCGCTTAGACGCCCCACGATCAGCCATCTCCTTCGCTTCCCTCACCTCATCCTGAAGATGCATTCAGGAGCTTGGATCAAGGCAGCCGGATGCTCACAAAGCCTCACCCACGACAGCTGGTAACACCAAAGGGAGATAAAGGGAGACCCGCTCCAACAAAATAGAACGATCTCGGATTTAAGGCTTGGAGCTTAGGCTTGCAGGATTTAGGAATTTAGGCCTTATGCAAATGCCTATAGCCTATGACTAATTCGTGTTCACACATCCCATGCTTCTTCCCAGCCCTCCCTACTCTCGCCGCCGGATGGTCCTCGCTCTTCTTTTTGATCTTCCTGAGCCCATGGGATCCAAACCACTCCGTTGTTGAGTATATGCTAAGCATGCCAAGCAGCAATTAAATCAAACCAGCTTGTGGCAGATACTCACAGCAGTTAAGTCGCTTTGTACAAGATGGTAGTGGAAAAAACTGTCTAGCACTGTGACCAGAAATTGTGGCAATCTCGGCTACGAGAATCTGGAGACACATGTCCTGATCCGGATTGCTGGTTAAAACCGGCCTGCAGATTCCATTGCAGCCAATGCACTCACGCAGCTGCATCTGCTTGTTGAGGGCGTGGTCGTGAAGCCGGTTCCCGGCGTTCACGGACGACACCATCTCGTTGGCAGCCTGAGCCATTGTGCCAACTGCTGTATGATGTCGTTACCCTTCCCAACAACACAGGCGTTGCCGCAGCTGCATGGTTTCAAAGTCACAGGGTTTGCGTGCAGTCTGCGGTAACCATGTTCTTGACTGCCTGGGCACGCGTTCGAGAGGTACCTTTTCACACCTACATAGGACATCGGCTGCAGGAGGAGGCAGGTGCAACTTGCGATTCCTTCACGGACCTTCACTGCTAGAGATGCCGAGGAGCTTCAGAGTGAGACTTGCTGAAGAAGCGCTTGCTTTCCTGAGTGCCCCAAATATTGACATAGCCAAACTAGCTCGGTGTGGGAATCGCATAAATCCCGGCACAGGCTAAAGGACCGCCACCCCTGAATCCTTACAAGCCCATAAACCACCAAGCCAAATTCATGCGAGGCAACAGTGTGTGTAGTATAGGGGCCTAAATAATTACCAACACTATCTTGGGGGCTCCTTATTATAATATATTATAGTATGATATGGACCCAAAACCTGTTCTACTTTGTAAGGCCCCTTTTTTTACTCTAGGGTCCGATGTGGTTTGGGGGGTTCGCGAGTCTGGAAGGGTGAATCCGCATCCTTTGCAAGCCTCCCCGCAAGACTGCAGGGGGTAGCTTCGTGGTTTCCTTTGGAGAAGCCATCCGTTCTCGAGTAGGATCAGCAGTTGGCATATTAGTTTAGGCATGGGATGGGTCTCGGGAATGACAGAACGCCACGGGCCCAGGGAACAACATGTCATGGTCAGTCGGCGACACTTGGGCTTGGGCTTTTGAGCTTTTGGACAAGGCGCAAGCATCTGCGAGTGTTCTTTGGGGTTCTGAACTTCGAACCCCAGCCTCGAATCCAACTTCCTACAAGCCCCGCACCTCCTTGGACCGTAGGATGACCTGCTCATCCTCGTGGTAGGTGTTCAACTGATGCTCACGACGCCGGCGCTGGCGAGCCTGCAATTTCCGGGCTGACACTGCCTAACACGAAGGCTAGGGGCAATTTCTTGCGGGAGGGCCTACATGTTTCCTTCAGCGCGATGTCACATATCTTAGTTAGACTTTCCAGACAACCAGAAGTTACAGTAAGGCTTTCCAGTCACAGCCATGAGGTGCCAAGAGCGGCCTTCGCAGCTCGCGCTGCTGTCACGAGCAGGATTCACACCAAGGCATTTTCTTTTGCGGTTGTGCTCTTTACTGCTAGTCCGCAGGCCCCCTGGAATTCAACAGTCCCCACACAAGCGGCCCCTCAATCGAAGAATCGCTCAATCTCCACTCCCGTACTGATTGCATCCACGCACATGACCCGTGCATGCCTTGCTGTCCCGATACAAGCCTTGGCAGATCGGGCTTGTCTTTTGCAACGTCGCAGCGTAGCCCTACATCTCATGGGAATTGGAGTTCATTAGTCAGGACTTTATCTACGCAATGCTTACAGGGGCTCTATACATGTTATCCATGCATACATACATACATACATACATGCATGCATGCATGCATGCATGCATGCATGCATACATACACACATACACACACAAGCAACATACATACATACATACATACATACATACATACATACATACATACATACATACATACATACAAACGTACATACATACATACATACTTACATACATACATATGTATGTATGTATGTATGTATGTATGTATGTATGTATGTATGTATATAGGTATATATATATATATATGTGGTATCATATATATATATATACATATAAATGTACGTGTGTGTATGTATAACATGATTGGCTCTGTTACTCTAGTATGCGAGAAAGTGGCGCTCAGCCGCTGCGCGGGGACAGAGATCCGCCTGCTTGACGCTCTTGCTCCTCAGTTCAAGACAGCTGCAAAGGGTGAAACGAACGGACTGAAACCCAGCACCAAGCAACGAGTAGCAGCTGAGCAGCAACTGTGTCCGTGGCATGGCGGGGGGGACTTAACGCAAGGGCTAAAAAGAGTATCTAAAGTACACTGTGGCCTTTGATAAGGTCGAGGCTCTATGTTCGACCCGGTGGGCAGCCAGACTTACAGTCAGATACGGGCCCAACGGGACAGGTGAGGCGGCTGACGCGCTCAGACGCTTCGGGGTTTCGCACAGAGCAAGGCACTTCCGAAGCCTGGACCCAAGCTGAACCCTAAGACCCCCCAAACCCTTACTAGCACCCAACGGCACTCATTAGCTACTTCCTCTTGCCGGGGCCCTCATCAACCCTGTGATAAACCCTAGCCCACAACACCCTTAACTTAATGCTACAGCCGAAACTTCCACCCAGGCGCCGGAGCTTCTGGGCCTCCTCTTGCAATCGGCTCGCATACCTTATGTTTCGGGGGCTCAGCCCTGCCACCCACGCCATCACCCGCAAAACCCCCATGGTTGGCCTTAAACCCGAATCTGGGAGGCTTGGGGCCCGAGGTAGTGAAACATGCACACGTGCATGCGTATAGGTACTAGCAACCCTTCAGGGGACTTGTGAATCCTAAGTCCTAAGGCGATTGGCACAGGCTTGCCGGCCAGAGACTCCTCTTGTTCTCGCAGCCGTCGCTCCTCTAACCGCTTTTGCTTGTCCTTGGCTTCGGAGCTTATTCGAACTAGTTGAGGGTTTCGGGTCCGTAGCCAGGCTATTATTGGCCTTAGTCTCTGAATTCGATCCCGGTCGGGTCCCTCGGTCCCAGTCGGTTATCAGTAGGGCCTTGGTCATGCTGCTCTTGATTGCTGAGCTTCAGAATCAGGTACAATCAAGGAATCTGCTTGTTCACAACAGCCCACATACTGAGCAGTATAATCCAGGCAGGGAGTGTACATTGCCACACATACCTCAACCAAGTTCCCAGTCAGAGAATCCGGCAGAGGCCAACTTCTACAGCGAAGAGACTGGCCAGGGTCGAAAATACAAGTCCTATTCTACACCTTTGGACCTCTCAGGACGGAGGACATGCAGGTCGTCATCAGTTCGGAATACGGAATCCATGGGCATCTCAGCTCTCAGCCAGAGCAAGTTGAATACGTTTACTGCAACAAGAAAATCGGAGGGGTTTAGGGTTTGAGGGCTTACGGGGGCCACTTGACATGAAAAAAAGGAAACGAAAATGACATACTTGTTCTTGCCGAACCGACTTGTGCGACAAGTCAAGGACAAACGGAGATGCATACGTAGGCATATACTGGTTTTCATACAGCATCAGATGATACATAAACTACATAAACATATCCCCTACGTAAAAGCTACATTGATGGTATCGTTTCAGCTCAGCCATCCAAGGGCTGCGGCCCGAGCGACGGCGTGAAGCTGGTGGAGGAGGTCCAATCGTTTCTGCGTTTCTTCTGGGTCCTGACATCAAGACGGGGATAATAGTTGGAATACCTAATACGATAATAACAGCATGACCGGCAGAGCAGCAGCATGAGTCGACATGATGAATGAACTGATGAACATCACAAGTCAGTTTTTGCCTGGGGGAAGTCGCGATCATAGTGGAACTGCCGATGATCGACTATTTACATCGATTGCAATACACTCTGGAGGGAGGAGAGTGCACTGACCTTTGCCGTTGCCTGTTGCCGTTCCCACGCTTTGGGGCCCAGTATACTAGAATTATCATATGGAACCCCCAAAAAAGTGTAGGTAATTCTTGCGGCAGCCAGCAGGCCAATCGGATGCAAGCGGCTCGCAGGTTGAGGGTCACAAAAAAAAAGATGATCATCAACCCCGGGTTTAGGGTTTAGGGTTTAGGTTGACTGTCACTATTAAGAGTGCGTACCCCCGAAGCGGGCCATGATTCAACCTCAGACTGCAGTCTACCCTTCAAGCATTACAACTTCGAATCGTGGCACAGCCGTAAAACCCTTACAGCAGATGACGTCAGGCCCAATTCACACACGAGCGACCATGCAGACTTGAGGCTAACACAGAGAACCACACATCACAGAAACCTAAATGAGTATGTATGTATACATAATCCCTCAAGCCTTATCCTCTAACTCGAAGCTTTGAACTTTGGATTTCTGTTCCCGAAGAGCACATCGACTGAAAAACAAAGCATCAGGTTCCAGGGGAGCAATAGTAGCACCACCATTGACAACGCTACCAGCTTCATCATCGGCATCATGTTCATGCGGAGGATGATGTTGATGGTTTCAATCTTTGCTTCTGGTTTCAATATTCTCCACGATTGCGACGAGAATTCGCATAAACAGACAGCAGCTTCGAGCAAAATCTCCCTTGCCGCTGTCCTTCTTCTGTCGGGGCGACCCGATGGATGCAATGTGTGAATCCGATCGGGCCAGGGACACCTCGTGCCGAAGCCCAGATGTGAGAGGTGGGTTTGAGTCTGATTTCGAGTAGGGGCGAGAGAGACTAATAATGAAACTAGTGAAGGGGGTAATACTACACATCCTGGTAATAGTGCACAGTGGTACATACGTTACGTAGTAGTACATGGCAGCATTTGTTGCAGCAGCAGCAGCAGCAGGGAGGAAGAGGAGGAGCAGGAGTAGCAGGAGTAGCAGTGGCAGCAGTAGTAGTAGCTGCAGCAGCAGGCGGAGGAGTAGTATTAGTAGTAGCAGTAGCCGGTGGCAAAAGAGTAGCAGCTTGTCGTACAGACGGCTTGCAGGGTAGGAACGTACGATATTCCTGAGCTTACAGGTGGAGGCTTCGACTCTCTGAGGTGCTGCAAGCAAAGGTCTGAAGCTGAAGCTGTCTCCCGAGCTCGCACTCAAGTTCACTCTGATCTAGGCCCTATGCCGCTTGGAATAAAACTCCAACTTCCAAGCACCAGGAAGGACATGCGGGTTTCCGAAATAGGGGACCCTAATATAGTACCCTAAATACTAGGATCCTTATTCTAAGGGCCCCCAAAATAAGGGACCCTAATATAGTACCCTAAATACTAGGATCCTTATTCTAAGGGCCCCAAAATAAGGTACCCCCGTAATTTTCGGAAACTCCCACGTTGCTGGCCTGCGAGGCCTGCTTCCGCAAAGCTCCGATCTCAGGAGATTTCCTTGGGATCCCCCGCTTTCTGGAGCTTCATCGGGTTTAGGGTTTAGGGGTTTAGGGTTTAGGGTTTAGGGGTTTAGGGTTTAGGGTTTAGGGGTTTAGCGTTTAGGGTTTAGGGTTCCCGCTTTCTGGAGCTTCATCGGGTTTAGGGTATCCAGGTGCTAAGACGGTAGAGGGAAAGGGACAAAGAGAGCCAGAGAAGGCGCGGTCCTATCGCATCGAACTCGCTACTGTGCCTCACAAAACAGTTCATGTTACACATGTTCCCCGAAGCTGCAAAATCCTTTCATCATCCCTGTAGCAGAGCATAGCGGTTCTCCAGGGCAGTCCAGCCGCAGCTTCACTCGCAAGCGGACAGTCGCCCCAGTCGACTCACCTCTCCGGGTCCAAGCTTGATCTTTTACTACCGTCATCGAAATTCGCAAAATTGGGCTGCAAAAAGAAATCCCTTAAGATTGGCTTGGTTCAGTCACCGAACTACACATTTCAGTCGCTGCCGCGCTGCGGGGGTAGCTTTAGAAAAGCATGGGTGGAGTGCGCAGGTCGGATTAGGACCTCTGGCAGGTCCAGCAGTCAAGCTAAATTATGATCTGGCTTATATGTCCCAATTATGAGGTATATTGGCCTCAACGAACTACAAAAGGGATGTGCGCACATCATCAGGGCATAACTTACATCCCGTCCTGCCTTCCTTGAGCAGTGGAAGAATGTGAACTTCCTGAACCATTCGGTCAAGAAGAAGGGGCAAGTGACTTGGAGAAGCTTTCAAGGAAACCTGCTTTGAATTGCTGCTGGCACGCCCTGATTGATTCTGGATACCCAGCTTTCATCACCAAATGTCCTTGCCAGCCCTCTGTGATTGCAGAGGACTCTCGTCAAACTGAAATCCTGGAATCCTGCAAGATATGTGATGCTTCGGATCCCCTTATAACCCCAAACCCCTACACGAGTTCTTCCGAGCTGCGTGATGCTTCGGATCCTGGACGTCTATCTCGCATGTTCCGACCAGTTCCTCCTCACTGCCCGAGCCATGCCTCCCAATGATGCCTGGTCCGTTTCAGCTCAGAAACAAAATTACAGGTGCCTCAAATTAGAACAAGGTCTTTGGGTAAAGTATGTAGCAGTATGAACAAGGAACCCTAAGGGATACCAGTGACTGTGACTTTGACGTTGGACTGTCGGGCTGCTGGCTGCGTTTTGCAGCACTGGGCAGCACATCCCAAAACTGCATGCTAAATTCCACGGTGGAACTGTGGGCGTGATTGCCAAAAAGAGCAGGCCACTTCCCTTTGCCCCTCGGTGCTGCTGCCGCATGGGATGTTAGTGCTGATTATTCAGGCTTGTATATTCACACGACACCCCTCTGGTCTCAAACCTCTCCCCTGCCCACCCGCACCCCGAAACTTGTCTAGTGATTATACCTAGCCGACACCCCTTCTAAGGACGTCGAAACCCCAAGGCAAGCTCCAAACCTCGCATGGAACATCGCCATGCGCGGCCCGAGCCGAGCAAAGGCATCCGAAGCCCTCCCCCATGCCCAGGGACAAGTTGCTAAGGACGGCGACGTTGGCATCCTTCTTCCCGATGAGCTTTAGCTGCTGCCTGTTCTGACTTTGCTTCAGACTCGGCTGAGGCCTGATTGAAAATTGAGCGCCCCCCAAAACAGCTAAAGTGTCAGAGCGCCTGATCGGACAGTCTTCGGCTGCGGGTCCGCTCATGCTTCCAGGCCGCGCATCCGTCTTGGGCCCTTTGCCTCAAGCACGGAACCCTCAAGCAGACCCAAAATCTCTCCCGAAACCTCCTTAAAATCCATCTTCTAAGACCTTTCGGTCGAAAACCTTGACCGGACCCTGCGAGTCACCCTGGTACCAGACCGGATTCCAAGAGCCCCCCTTCTGCTCAGCGCTTGAAGCTCCACCTAAGGGATGCTAACAGCATCCCCGCGCGCAGAATGAAGCCACACCCTGCGGGAGTCCCTGTAGCAAATCCTAAACTACTGAAGACATCAGAAAGATCTCATGCGGCTGGGGGCAGCTTAGAAGACATCTTAGCGGCCACTTGCGAAAGTCTTGCAAAGTTGTGCCATATTCTGGGATTGCTACTGCTGGCCGCAAGCGAGCAAAGTCTGGCACGTCATACGACATACGACGACAGCGCAGCTGGAACCACTTGAACGGGTCAAACAAGGACGACAGAAACTCTACCGAACTCCGTGGTGCGGGATGTCTTGCAAAAGATAACCGTACTCCGTATTGTTATAACACAAGCTTCACAAGCAACCCATGCGTAGAACACATCGACCATTTTGGTTTTGCAAGACCAGCGGCCATCCTCACCTTTCCATCGGGCGCGAGCGATGTACATCCCTTCGGTGGCGTTCATGCTCGAGATGTGCATGACTGTATCCTGAGATGTTCCGCACTCCTCCTTCTCGGGCAGGGCTCGGAGAATTTTAAAAATCACACCGCTGCAATAACATAAGCCGAAGAGAAGGATGCTATGCATCCGAGAGGCGACCTGCAGCATTGCATTGTCCAAGATCTCTTCCACCTCATGTCGGGGCCTAAATACTTAATACGATTTTGGGTTTCCTTGTTCTGATTATGGTATATTGAGCCCCAAAACCCTATTCTAATTATGAAGGCCCCTATACTCTGCACTTGGGCATCACAGGCTTGACACTTGTGCTTCCGGAGTTCTTGTTTCGGTGCACGAGAGTACGTACAAGTACCGTTGGCCAGACTTCCCCAGGGCCATCGCAGAAGGACTCAGCCCCAGACTCCGAAACCGCAGAAAAAAGGAAAGCCTGAGCACTACACCTGAAACTGTAAAACTTAAAGATAATATAGTGGCCTCAATAATTAGAATAGGGTGTGGGGTAGAGTATACCATAAATATAATTAAGGACGCCCGCAAAACCCTATCCGAAAGCCACCTGCTCCTCAACCAGGACGTCTTCACCTCGAGCTGCCTTCTTCATGGCTCGGTCCAGTTCCTGCATGCTTTGTCTTTCGGGTGCTTTTGGCTCCCGCATCGCAAGCCACAGCAAGCACGGAAGGTCTTTCGGGTGTTGGGGGTCTGCTTGCTGCTGGCTCAGGTTTTGGAGTTCAAAAGCTGTAGTTGGTCCCTTTCGTAACCAGACAGCTCCCAAACCTCGTCTCTGCACACCCGTCCTTGGTAGAGATCAACTCGTCAGCCCCGCCGACTACACGAATGAGCTCTTTGAACTCATCGTTGCTGCAAGTGAACCTGGGTCGGTGCCTTAACAATAGTAAGGAACCTCACAGAAAAATCTTGGTAATTATCTATTCCACTTCTACGTAGCTGTTCAAACTGCGTTTCCGTCGTGCGCTCCAAAGACGGAAGGTGTGATGCATCTAAGACTTTTAGACTTTCCCGGGGACGCATCGTTTCTGTAAGGAGGACTACAAGTATTAGGGATCACCAGTCGAATCTAATCCATCTAAAACTCGAAACCCGAACTGTTCCCTGAAGAAAACGACATGGGGCTCTCTAGAAGCCCCCTAGACACGACAATCTTTGGTTGGACAGGAGTCCCATAATACGATTCGCGCTGGCAACTTGCGACCCACGCATGTGGGCAGCAGCGTGAAAGTCCCTCTAGCAACGTAGGATAAAGAGCATCGATGCAACCGTCGAAAACCCGAAGCTGCATGACAACCGAAAATCCAAACTCCCGTCGGTGAAGGACAAGTCGGCGTGTGGCAAAGATTGATTTCAAACGATCCTACATCGCATTTTATCATGCAGCATAAGCAAAAGCATCACGACAACACTTTTTGAAACAATCATGTTCGCGAAGCGAGAACTTTTTCGAGCATCCCGAGCGTCGCATGCACCACATGAATCGTCTTCACTGACGGATGACTCGTGCTGATTGTGTGAACGCTACTATTGTTGTGGCCGTGGACGTGTCCGTGACCGTTGGGGTTGGTGTTGTTGCTGCTGCTGTTGTGGTTGTCGTGGTTCCTTCGTTTGTCGTCGTCGCCGCCGTCGCCTTAGTCACAACAGTCTTTTTTATCTGCTGTGTGCAACTGCATGTCCAACTCGACATCTCCCATATATTTCTGTCATGCAATGTCGAACAACATGAATTCTGAACTTTGCCTCCGAATGATCTGCAAGCTCCAGGGTGCGTTTCAGCAGAAATACTACTTACAGCAGCCTTTCGTGGCGCCACAGTGATAGAACATGATCCAAGAAAGCCCACTACCCCCTAATCATGCAAAATTCCTAACAACACGTTTCGGCTCCCTCTAAGATTTGTCTATACTGCTCTGACTAAGGGATGCACAGGCCACGTCTCGAGACAAGTAGCCCGAGATGTTGCTCCAACCCACGGCGGAACTCCGTTTTGTTGACCAGACCCTCTGGGTGAGTGCTCCTTGGGCTTTGCAGGGCTCAAGGTTTTGCTTGCGCGATCAATCTTGCGGACTCATGTGGGGTTGGGAAAGCTCAGCACTCGGCGCTTGAAGATTCGATTTTTCAAACCGTGTCAGGCTTCATGGCGCAGCTCAACAACTGCTCTGGTCGGCTCTTCCTTTTGGCTTCATCTTTGCTACTTGCTCACACAGCGGCGAACATCAACAGTACCTCTGCCGCAGACACCAGTTCTCTGGTCTTTAACTTCCTGCTTGTGGTACAAACTGTCATGATGTAAACGAATATACAGAAATATGTACATGCATATGGAAAGATAACATATCACAGCGACCGAGCCCGTACATACATACCTACTGTACGTAATCTTGCTTACTTATGCGCTTTGACGAAATACGAGTAGGAGGTTAAAACAATGAATAATGTCAAGCACAACTCGCCGTTAACTGAGTGTGTGAGAGAGAGAGAGAGTGAGAGAATATACCCACTTGTACATATATGTAGACCTGCAAGTTCATATGTGTGCAAAAATATATGTATGTATGTGTGCAGCGATGAATATACAAACAAAGACACGTACATGCATACATACATACATACATACATACATACATGCATGCATACATACATACATACATACATACATTACATCACATTACGTGCACGCATGCATGCATGCATGCATGCATGCATGCATGCATGCACATATATTCACAAGTGTGCAGTGTGTATATATATATATACATATTTGTAACTAACTATATATATATATATATACATGTCTAAGTATAAGATGTACACGCATTCACCCGAGGCTCACCATCTGCCGCATGAAGTCCACGGTTCGTAGCTTACCTGGGTCGTCCGCTTGCCGAGCCCTCAGGTTTCACAACCCTCGTAGGGTTGAGACCTTCGCTTTCAAGGGTTTAGGACGATTTTAAGTGGAGAACTTCAGGGAACCGCGGCTCGCAGATACGCAACTCTAGGTTCAGGCAGTTGCAGTGCAACGACCAGCTTTTGGACGAAATTGTGAATTAGTGCAATAAGTTGATTCGGATTTGGGGAGCCGGCTGCTTTGAAGTGGAGACGGACAAGCCAACAACACCTTGATCGGCTTTCAACCAGGACCAGGCGCATCAACCTCAAAGGACGATGGCCTTACATCCTCAACTTCGGAGAGGATCCTTCGCCCTACTTTTTGCCAGGGGACGGTGATCCAGCTGGTAGAAAATCGTGAGGAGTGCCTGCGTCGCCCGAGACATGCTCGAGGCCAGCTTGGGATCCTTGCCGGCTTTGCAGAGGGCAGCGGATGAGGGTGAAAAGTTAATTATGTCTAAGGTAGGAACCCATGGGCCCCTAGTATGGGCCCTTAGGGGTGGGATCCTTATATACCTACTATATAACCCTATATGTACCCTTCAGGGTCCCTAGAAAGGCCTAAGGGTCCACATTAGGGGCCCATGCTTCTAACCTTAGATTATGGATTTACTCGGTCGTGCAGGCGGGAAAATCGTCGGGAAGATCCTATCCATGAAAATAATTTCTCTGGCTGGGAGACTCTGCTAAAATCTACAGCATGTTCGAGTGCATCCGAATGGGCCGGTCATTTCGTTTCTGCTTATTCACATCCTCCAAGCACGCATGCAACAAGACGATCATTACTCTTGTTGAGGTGTGTGTGCCTTCAACGACGACCACGAAGGCCACGGGACTCCTTCTCTACGGAGGCGGCTGCGGCTACTGCTATACTGCTGGTGCTACAGCTACAGTACCAGTCCTGCTAGTCCTCCTGCTTCTGCCCCTCTCCTGCTCCTGCTGCTGCCACGGCTGCTCCCACTCGTGCTCTTACACCTCCTCCTACTGCTCCTCCTCCTGCTGTACTTCATGCGAGTATTATGCTTCACGTATTATCCGCCTGATTATGACCAGGATTCTGGAGGTAGACTGTCATACCGGATAACAAAGAGTGGCCAGAACGGGATGCTCCCTGAACAGAAGCTGATCAGCCACGCTGCCACGTGCTCCCCAGCCTTCTGTACAGCAAAGCTTTTCCTCGTGCGAGGAGAAGCTGGAGATTTCCTGAGATATGGGTAGTTCTCTAAATTGGGGTCCTAAACCCTAAACCCTACTGTAAACCCCCCTCTTTTACCCCCCTCAGCAGGACTTAACTTCTCTAAAGTTAAAGTATTTAATTCGGGCCAAGAATTAAATAATTCAAATCCGGAGGCCTCCCCCAATATTTCAAGTCTTCAAACTGTTTTATTTTCCTCTTGGAACCCCTCGGAAACGCAACCCCGGTCTATTTGGCAGCTGGTTCTCGAGGTTGGCATCTAACCCAGGGTTCCAGCTGCCAAACAGACCAGGGTTTAAGGTGTACACCCCCCGAAAACACAGAAGCCGAAACCATGCAGACCCTAAACCCTAAACCCCATGGCGTAAGGCCCGGCGTCGCGCCATCCTCGGACTTCTCCTCGAGACTCGTTTGGCTGTCCCGCGGCGGGGGCTCGAAGCGAGCCTGCTTCTCCTGGGCTTCCAAAGGCTCCAACGTCCCCTCCCTTCCGCCTCCCTCCCTTCCTTCCTCCCCCTTCCTTACCCTCCCTTTCACCCTCGATACTCTCTCGTCCGTTCACTCAGTTTAGGGTTTAGGGTTTAGGAGAATGGCAGCAAGCAATTTAAAGTATGTCAACAGATGCGAGGTTTGGGGCTCAATTGCTTGCAGGGTTCCATTGGCCTGGCATGTTACCACGGTTTAGGGTTTAGGGCTTAATTGGTTTGGGATGTTGCGGTTTCGGCGCTCACACTCGGACTATCCAGGCATATCCAGGCGATTCTGCATCAGGATGGTCCCGAAACTGAATTTTGCCTCCTGCATTGGTGCGCGAATTACTAGGCCAGGGTTACCATTAGAACATTCACTTGACGTCATTGACGGTTTAAGGTGTTTCGGCGTTTGTTAACTCTTCACTGCTTGGAGTTTGCCTCTGCATGGTGGTTCCAAGAAGGGTCTTGTGCTCAGGCATACGTGATTTGGGAACTCTAGTGGCTGGAGGAAGGGGAAATAAATGAAATAGTCGCAGTTCAGAACATCTGCCATTCCGCATCCTCGAGCCCGCTGTGTGGCGATGGCTCTTGCGCGTTTCCGCTTAGAAGCCCAAGAGCCCAAAGTATGATACTCGATTGCTCCGCACGAGGCATGCAAGGCTTCGTTACGGCCACTGCGCAATGACAGCCCCCAAAACAAACGAGCTTTTCGGCCTTTTTAAAACTTCACGCCTTGGAGACTCCAGGCGTCCCAAGCCCAAACCAGACACTTCTAGTCAGACGCTCAGGGTAACTCTTGCAAAGAGCCGTTGCAGGAAGGGCCTTCAGCTGCCGCAATGTTTGCAAGTGCTGAACTCTTAAACTCTGAAGCTTCAAAAACCCAAAGCCAAGCCCAGCTTCCGACTTCTCCACAGGCGCTTCGGCTGCCGCAGGCTTCTCTTCAGGTTTCGTGCCCTGCTGCATCTGCTGAAACCTTGGTTCAGCTTTTCGGAATTTCAGCTCCGGGGCTTCGGGTGTAAGGTACTGTACAGTAGGGGTCTCAAGAATTAGGGATTATAGGGTTTGGAGCATCCCCGTGTGCAGCCCCTTATATAGTTCTCTGACCGAAAAGGATAGACGATCAGCAAGACCCTATTCGAATTACACCAGGCATGGTTGAGGACGGGTGGTCTCAGGCTGGGTCGAATTGTAGTGCATTATAGTGCATTCTTTGTTCATCGGCTGGGGCCTTCACGATGTGAAGTCTACGAAAGGATTCCCCGCAGGCTTTTGGAGCTTTAGAGAATCTTTGCTTGTACGGTGTAGCAGAGGGGGAATCATCAGCACCGAGACACCACTTTTGAAGAGTTGCCATGCCCTGTAGGCTGCGCAGTCGGATCTTGCCCGACTGGAAAGTGATTTCATTGCGGGCATCATCCCATGCCAAGTCTGGAACCTTCAGGGAAGGCACTGCCATTCTGCTCTGACCGAAGCCACAACAGGAGGGTCTCAAACTCAGGTCTGAGAATCTCACCCAGAAACGGCTTGAACGTCACCAAACTTGATCTTGATTCTTGGCCGTGGCGGTCCAGAATCCCAGGAGTAACTCTGAGTTGAGGTGCAGTTTTCGAACCACGAAGTTTTGCTAGAGTATGTCATTTTTTTGTTTTGGCTCCCGCATGGCAGTCCCGAGGGTCTGTGTGGGAACACATGCTGTGTCGTGGTATGATACTGATGTCGCGCGATATGGTGCGGCTCTGCTGCGCTGTATCTCTAAGCCTCTTGCTTCTATACTGCTATCGCAAGGACCCGCCTCTAGGAGGTTGTAAACCTGCACAGGATCATCGCCCTGCTTCTGACCGTTGTCCACGGGGTACTGCTCCAGGGAACTCCCCCGCAAGCAAAACCAGGCAGCTGACCATTTGCCTGGCAGCTTTGGGATCATCAAAAGTGGGTAGTTCTCGAAATTGGGGTCCCTTTTAGGGCCCTTTTGGTAAGGGTGCCGTACTATTTTGGGGATCTACAAAGGGTCCCTAATTTTGACAACTACCCAAATGGCCAACGGGGCCCTTACGATGGTCGCCCTCTGCTGGGCGATTGTCTCTCAACATGTCACCCAGGAATCCCCTGCGCGGAAGCCCGGACCCTGAGGTGTCTGCCCTGAAAGTTCGAACTCTCGCCAGCCGGACCTACCACACCCTTGCCATGGCGGATGTCAAGAAGATCTTCTAGCACCGCCATCAGTGCAAGATCTGAGCCGCAAGGGCTCCCGGAAACAAAAACAAAAAATCTGCTCGGCATGATTCTGTCGACAAGAAGTGCATCTCTTGTCCGGTGTCAGCAAGCCCCACATCCCCTTGCGTCTGCAGCCAGCAGGTTTCTTTCTCGGTCACAATCATTGACGTCGGCGCTACTTAGGTGGGCAGAGAAGACTTCGCTAGACTTGTCGTGGGGTTGCTTATGTCAGTCCGGCTAAGCGAAGTCTGAGCGCGGTCGCAGCTCTTTGTATGTGCTTGATGAAGCATGGACTTCGACCTGTTATGGCGATTGCTCCTAGTCAGGGAAGAATGGCTTCCCGGCCCATCTAGGTGCGGAGATAGGGCTCTGAGACCCGTCCATCGAGTACTACAATTACTACAAGCCTGCAGCGATGCGGGAGGGATCCTGTTCGATCCTGATTCAACTGAACAATTGCCTAGAGGGAGGCATCTCCAAAGCCCCTAAACCATCCGCATTAAGCCAGAACTCCCATGAATGCTCAGAAGTTGCCTTGGTGTGTCCACGTGCCACAACCCACCTTGCTGTATCCCTCCATGCTGTACAGAGGCAAAGAAAGTGCAGGCGTTGACTTCCAACCTTAGAGCCTTAGCCGGAGAGCCCAATACCCCTTAAATAAAGAATATAGCTTAAATTATAGGGGCCTTAATACTATGATTTAAGGTATATTCCTTAATTAAGGGGTATTGGGCTCTCTGGGTAGCCGTCAAGGACGGGGTCTTTCACCCCGAACTCTTCTCAGCTCCGTCCCGGGATTGGGACTTGCGCGTGATCCACTTGTAGGTGTCCGGGTAGGTCTCCTTCACACTAGGGTTTAGGGTTTAGGGTTTAGGGTTGTTAAGGCTTCAGGGATGTCGGGTTTAGGTTGTAGATTGAAGCATCTGCTGGTTCTATCTGCGGTTGATAAGGTACCATAGTTGAAGCAGGTATGGGCTTATGCCAGTACGAGGACCCTTGTGACTTTAATTCATTCAACTGGAGCAACAAGTAGCATGGTGTGCATCAAGACAGCATCATAAGTTCAGGACCAGCATACCTGGCATATCTCTACGTACTGTCCGGTTTGCAATCTGGCAATATCTCGTAAGCTTCCCAGCCAGGCCTACCAGGCCTACCAGGTGCAACTGCTAGCACACCCTAACCTAGATGTCCCTTGCCTGTTGAGGAGGGGATGCATTGCACATGCTTTCATGCCCGCCTCACCTCCGTCCCTAAATTACTTTTTCGGATCTTGGGCGCACCTGCTACAACGGGCTTGAAGCCCTTCTCCGGAGGCCAAGGCATAGGATCCCCCAATCACCCGAATGCCGACATCTTATCGGCATCCATGGTACGGAGCTACGGACCTTCACGAAGGCTCAGTTCGCCAGGGCGCCAGCCCGGGTGTCTTCCCCGTTGACATCAAGTCCTGCAAATCCTCCTCCCATCCTGAGTTGGAGTTGGGCAAATCAAGAACCCGAAACTACAAAGCTTTACCGGTAGAGTGAGCCTAAGTTGCCTAAGCCCCAAGACTCTATAAAGAAAAGGCTACATACCACCCCGTTCATCCCAACAGCCCTCAATGCTGGACCTTCAAGGATGAACATACTTCGCCCATCTGCTGACGATAGGAAGATGCTGATCTCAGCGGCCAAGAGATTTGGCCAGCGCCCGGCATCCCTCGTCACACGCACCTGCAAGGGGTCACGGGCTGGGCGTCTGGTCAGGTGGGCAAAAAAATCATGGAAGGATTGTCCTGTAACGCGGTAGCCAAGTCGCCAGGCTTGTCATGCATATGTGACCCTCAACACCACGACTGATGGGCTTCTTCTCTCCGTGTAAACACTACATGTCAATGCAGGCACTGCCGCAAATGCATTCGATGTGGTTGCATAGGCCCAAGCAGGAACTCCTGCACCCAAGACGAGGCCTTCATGCCAAACGTCTCGCCAGTTTGCCTGGTCTTTCAACCTCCGTGCAAACATGCAGAAAGCAAGCCATAAGTCAGGCCACAAATCCTAGTGGGGAAGTGCCAAAATTGACGACTCTCGACCAAACAACTCCAAACGCACCAGCTCATCACAGCCGAAGAAGATGGAGTCTGTGTCGCGGTAGCTACAAGAACAAGAAGAGCTCCAGACATCCCAAATCAAAGCCGAGGCGCAGGAAGCGAAAGCCTCTATAGAGTCGGTCCAGCGTGCCGGAAGGCTCCCTGCACCAAGGGCAGGTAGGGTGTGCTGCTTTCAGGGTTTCGGGCTTCGGGCTGCTAGGGTTTTAGGGCTTAGACTCTAGAGGCCCGGAACTCCTTCGAAATCCGAAAATCTAGGCTGTAGACCTCGCCCTTTAAAGAAGGAGCTCTTTGACTGCCGATATACCCTGACTCCTCAACATCATTGGTTTAGGGTTTAGGGTTTAGGGTTTAGGGCTTTAGGGGTTTAGGGGTTTAGGGTTGAGGGTTTAGGGTTAAACAAATCTAAACGAGAACTCAAGCCCCAAACCCCTATACCCTGCACGCCCTTAAACCCCGACCCCCTAAACGTTCCAAACATCCCCGCAACCCTGCATTGGCCCCACACACCTCAAACTCTCCCTTTAGCAACCCAAAGCCTCGCTTCATAAGAACTCAAACTGGAGACCGCTTAGGGTTTAGGGTTCTTTTTTTGGC